GGATTCTTAAAAATTCTAAAGAACTTCTAGATAATTTTAAATCTCGGTCTTTTTCTGAGATTAGTTCTATCAAAACTTTTGATTTTTCAACCCTGTATACCACCATTCCCCATGTGAAATTGAAAAATCGCTTGAAAGAAATAATCCACAATGCCTTTCATCATAAAAATGGTAGCATACGCTATAAATTTATTACTTTGGGATATCATAAGGCATATTTTGTTAATAGTGAACAAAAGGGTAAAACATGCTACACAGAAGAACAAGTGATCAGTATGCTGGAGTTTCTTATCGACAACATATTTGTTGAATTTGGAGGTAGACTTTTTCAACAAATTGTCGGCATTCCTATGGGAACGAACTGTGCGCCTCTCCTTGCCGACCTCTTCTTATTTTCATATGAATCGGAGTTCCTTCAGACACTTGTCAAAAACAAGAAGATCAAAGAAGCCAGATTATTTAATTTCACTTTTAGATATATTGATGATGTTCTTTCCATTAACAATCCGAACTTTTCTGATTGGGTTCCATTAATATATCCCCCAGAACTAGAAATTAAAGAAACAACAGATACGGCTTCCTCCGCCTCATTTTTAGACTTATATCTCGAATTTGACATACACAGTAATCTCAGTACCAGAATCTATGACAAACGAGACGATTTTAATTTTAAAATTATAAATTTCCCCCACCTTAGTAGCAATATACCAACTTCACCTGCATATGGGATATACATTTCCCAACTTATTCGATATTCAAGAGCTTGCAGCTCTTACTCAGACTTTGTAAAACGTCACCAGTGTCTGAGCAGAAAGTTGATGAACCAGGGGTATGTCAAAGAACGTCTCGTCCTTTTTCTAAAAAAGTTCATCGGAAGGTACCAAGACCTTGTTGATAAATATTCCGTATCAACTTCACAAACAATACATGATGGTCTTGAAGTATAGATTCTGCATACTGACGTTGTTTATCATCTTAACAACGTGTAATATTGTTCTTTCATTTGTCTTTGTTCTATTATTAATATTACTTTTACTGTTTGGTTTGTTTTCTGTGATATCCATTTGACGTGGCTAGGTACTTATACATCCCGTCAATGTGTTTGTATTATCTTTAATTTTTACTGGTGTGTTTTGTATATGCGACTTTTTGTGTTTCTGTGGTTCTTATAACGTGACTCTGTACTTTAAAAGATCCCGTCATTATGTTATTGTTCTATTATATGTCATTATGTTATTGTTCTATTATAAATTTGAAAATACTTTGAACGACAAACGACAAATTTATTTTACTCGCGTAGTGGTATTTACCATATGTGGATTCTTAAGGGTTCTGAAGAACTTCTGGACAATTATAAATCTCGGTCTATTTCTGAAATTAATTCTAACATAACTTTTGATTTTTTAACCCTGTATACCAACATTCCCCATGTGAAATTATAAAATTGTTTTGAATAGACATTGAATGACAAACTTTTTTCTTATGTGACGTTTACATTTTCTGACGTCAGACACGCGAAGCAATGAATGTGGGTCTTAATTTGATAGATGCTTTTGTGCTTTTTTTGTAAATAATTGTTTGTTTTGATATTGTAACACAGTGATGACTGCTGTACCCATATTTTGACTATTTTATTTATAATGTCTGTTTTGTTCACGCATCGTTGTAAATATAACGAAATTTGATAAGACTGTCGTACAAGTGAGAGGTTTAGCGCTATAAAACCAGGTTCAATCCACCATTTTCTACATTTGAAAATGCCTGTACCAAGTCAGGAATATGACAGTTGTTGTCCATTCGTTTGATGTGTTTTGTCATTTGATTTTGCCATGTGATTAGGGACTTTCCGATTGAATTTTCCTCGGAGTTCAGTATTTTTGTGATTTTACTTTTTAATAGGTAAATTAAAAAATTTTAAGTTCTTAGACCACATTCATTCTGTGTCAGAAACCTATGCTGTGTCAAATATTTAATCACAATCCAAATTCAGTGCTGTATCAAGCTTGAATGTTGTGTCCATACTTGCCCCAACTGTTCAGGGTTCGACCTCTGCGGTCGTATCAAGCTGCGCCCCAGCGGAGCATTTTATTAATTTTTGGGTCCAGTTTTCAAATTAGTCTACATTAAGGTCTAAAAGGTCCAAAATAAAACTTAGTTTGAGTTTAACAAAAATTGAATATGTGGGGTTCTTTGATATGCTGAATCTAAACATATATTTAGATTTTTGATTTTGGACCCAGTTTTCAAGTTGGTCCAAATTTGGGTCCAAAATTAAACTTTGTTTGATTTCAACAACAATTGAATATATGGGGTTCTTTGATATGCTGAATCTAACCATGTATTTTAGGAATTAGGGGCAAAAAAGGGGGAAAAGCAAGGGTTTTCCTGGTTAATGGACAATTAAAAAAAAGTACAATGTTATGTTTGGATTACCTCCCTTACACTGCTTTTAAATTATGTATAAAGAAATGTATTGTCTTGAGGTGATTAGCTGTCAATTTATTTTTAGATGTTACTATTTAAAAATGCTGATTAAGGAATATAAATTTTAGCCATGATCATGTATGTCATTTTCTATTTTAAGACTTTTATGATGTATTTAAATGGGTAATTATGGTTGCAAACTCCATTGGAAATTTTAATTGAGATTATGACCATATCTTGAGGGAAAGAATTTTTTTTTATGGAAAAAGGGGGGGAGGTGAAAAAAAAATTGGGGGAGGGGGTAAAAAAGAAATTGTGAGGGGGGGTACAATTTTTTCTCATTTCAGATTTGTTTTTTTGGGGGGGGGTCAATTCACAACAGCATAGTGTATTGCTCAAAAGCAAAAAATTGAATATAAATTCAAATCATATAACCAATTCTAAGTTCTTTGACTACAGTTATTCTGTGTCAGAAACCTATTATGTGTCAAATATTTAATTACAATCCAAATTAAGACCTGTATCAAGCGTGAATATTGTATCCATTTTTTCCCCCAACTGTTTAGGGTTGTACCTCTGCGGTCGTATCCAGCTGCGCTCGGCGAAGCAATTTATTTAAATTGGTCTACATTAAGGTCCAAAGGGTCCAAAATTAAACTTAGTTTGATTTTAACTAAAATTGAATTCTTGGGGTTCTTTGATATGCCGAATTTAAACATGTGTTTAGATTTTTGATTATGAGCCCAGTTTTCAAGTTGGTCCAAGTTGGGGTCCAAAATTAAACTTTGAATATATGGGGTTCTTTGATAAGCTGAATCTAACCATGTATTTTGATTTTTGGGCCCCACTATCAAATTGGTTCACATTGAGGTCAAAAGGGTCCAAAATTAAACTTTGTTTGATTTCATCAAAAATTGAATTCTTTGGGTTCTTTGATGTGCTGAATCTAACCATGTATTTAGATTTTGGATATTGGACCATAATAGGTAAATTAAAAAAAAAAAGTTCTTAGCCACATTCATACTGTGTCAGAAACCTATGCTGTGTCAAATATTTAATCACAATCCAAATTCAGAGCTGTATCAAGCTTGAATGTTGTGTCCATACTTGCCCCAACTGTTCAGGGTTCGACCTCTGCGGTCGTATCAAGCTGCGCCCAGCGGAGCATTTTATTTTTTAATAAATATGTGGTTTAGGAAGAATCTAAGTTGCCATAGATTAGTTAAATCGAGGAGTAGAACCAGTAAAAATCATCACTAGTTTAGTAATAATAATCTCAACTCTTACACTAAAATCTATGTCAAGAAAGATGTCATATCTATGAGATTGAAAATAACCATTGGATACATAGTAACATCAAATTTGTCATTTGTACCATAAATCTGTCACTTACTTACAAAATGAAATTTTCTTAAAACATGTATATATAGGTTAAATAAATGCAGACTTAGTCAATGTCTATGAAAAAACATTTACCACCATTAAATGTTCATTGTTTCAGTGATCATTCATATATCAACCAAAAAGGGCAAAATGCAACTGCTTTGAATTCAAATGACCATGAATACTCTTGTCATTTGTACACAGAAGAAGAAGAAGAAGATGATGAAGATGTCAATTTTTTAGATAGGATTAAAGATTTATTAAAAATGATGAAATTAAAGAGTAATACAGATTACGACTATGCAAGCATGTTAAGGATGTGTAGTCAAACAGACCTAAGCGATCAAGACATTTTCATGGGCATTATTCAAGAAATGAAAACACGGTATTATTAACATCATCAAAATTTTCACCATAGCATTTTGAGGTCAGATTTTCTCAAATTGGATTTCAATATGAAAATAGGGAAATGTTGCATGATTGTCAATGAGGCAACTATCGGTAGATATAATTTGACAAAGATACAAACTATCTAATGGTTATCCAACAACCTTCAACAATAAGCAAAATTCTTACCATTAAGAAAATAAAATAAACATTCAAAATAAAATACCAACAGTCTGATACATACCACATCAATGATTGAAAAACACATGTGGCAGAAAAAAACCCAAATTTCAATTAATTTATTGCACATTCATGGCCAGAGACAGGTGGTTACAGAACTTTTAACATATCTATCTGCCAGAATAAGTACTTTCCTGTAATGCATTATCAATTTAAAGTTACTTTTTTAAACAAAAATTTCAAACATTATTGTTCTTTTATTTCTAAATATTGATGATGAAGATCAAATCATTAACGGTACCAATTTTATAACAATATATATATAAAAAGATCTGCATATTTTGACAATAAATGTCTCATCAGTGATGTTCAAGACATCATTACTTATTATTGAAATTCTTTGAACTAATCTTTCTTACTACATTTGTACTTTAATATTTAATATAAATTCACTTGTATATTTGAATACCAATAGATGTCCACATTTACTTGAAACACTAGTATCAGTATGTGTGAAAGATGAAACCAAAGTGAATTTAAGGCAAATTACCAGTGTTGCAGTGGCATACTCTTGTCTGATGTTTGCGAGAAACAATAAAAACTCTGGTATACAGAGATGCATTACCATGTTAGCTGTAAAAGGAGATGCAAATGATGAGGTAAGAAGTAATGTTATGCAATATAGTTTTTTAAAGGTTACATAAGATACTTTTTCTTCAGAAGGAGACCAAGTAATGATTATTTAATGGTAGGGGCTTATTTTATTGGTGGAGTTTGGTTATTACATCTCAGTAAATTGAACGGTCTTATGATTGCAATTGTACTCTACACCTGGATATGCCCAGGTTTTCATGAATTTATACTTTCATTTGTTTTGCTACCTCAATGCTTATTTTGCTATAATTATTACTGCATAGTGCCTAACCTTTCCCTTTTTCCTATGTCTCAAAATATAAAATCTGTTTTTATATTCCACCAATTATGATAGCAATGAATACAAATAGATTTTATGTTTTCCATTATTGTATACTGTAAATTCAGAGATTTAATTGACATATCCCATGACTAACAAATATATGAGATAATCAGATTAATTATTGGAATTTCAGGAAAAGTTTAATAATTATAGATATATGTATTGGATATTAGAATACTACAGTTGTTATTACTGCGATACTCAATACCAAGTTGCATAAATCACATTGATAAAAATCTCAATCATTTCTGAATTTACAGTATACTTTTGCTTTTCTTTTAGGTAACAGCATTACTCTGCTTTTACATTAACAAAATACATTATATGAAAGTCTGTATTAAATGGGAAATACACTTGCTGTATGTTGGTTCGAATCCAACTGCAGACAAACCAATGTATCTTAGTCTAGCTAGCTATTAACACTTAAACTGTGAAAGTATTCTTATCAACATTTTGGTATGGGAAATATAACAAATGATATTCAATATAAAAGTAAAAAATGATCTTTTCCTATGTTTCCATTTTGATAAAAAAAAAAAAGCAGATAAATGAAAAATTAGCTTCTGTTATATATTTTACAGTGTTTCTGAGTTTCAACAATTACAAAATGGAACAAAAACATTTATCATTGATAAAAATGGCTTCACAGTGCTTATTATGGCTTCACAGTGCTTATTTCTACTTTTGGTGATGGTGCATTATTAACCTGGCCACAAATACATAAGTTATAACTGATTATGATAGCACTATTTCATACATGTTTTATTTTATTTTATATTCTATTTAATAGTTTATCAGAAGATTGAACAGGATGTCATTAAGCCTTTCCTGTTCTGGAAAATTAAGGATTCTTGATAAGGCTGTCATTGCTTCACACAATATGTTGGTTGAGGCAATTCGTACAAACCCTTTAATGAAAATAACCGGTGATAACTTGGATATGTATATCAGAACAAACCACCAAAGGACAGACACTAGCAACCAGGATATACACTGGTTTGCCTCTAATGCATTTTTCACCAGACTTAATTACCAAAATCTTCCAGAGAATACACCAGAAGTTAGTCCAGTTTCTGTTGCTACTTTTGTTAGCATGGTTGACTTGTTAACTTTTTAATTTCTTTTTCAATTGGTTGAAGATTTGAAGTATTATTTTTTATGGATTTTACATTTGATTTCTTTAATTACATAGACAGTAACTGTTTAGTGTCTTTATCCAGCAATTAATTTTAAAAAAAAATTCCAGCCCAATTGTTAATTAATTTTTTATGAAATCATGGCTTAAACAGGACCGCAATGAGGACCCCAAATTTAACTGTGATGTCAACAGAAATTTGACAAAACATTAGCTCGCAACAAAATCAGGATACCAGGAGACTATAAAACATCTAGTATACATTTATCGCTTCGTGTTATCTGTACACCTGTATTAGTATAGTAGAAAGGTCAATTGCAGGATAAAATCATATAAATTTCATTTTAAACAACTTTCAAGATGTTTAAATCTTTTATTATCCCATAAGCTAACAATCTATTTGCCAAATTGAAATATAATTAGACACTGTGAATTTCAATAGTCGAAGGGGACTTTAGGTTTGTCTGTCTGTCTGTCCATCCGTCAGTCCGGCAAATCAGTTTTCCAGACTTTTTTTCTTCATGCTTTAAGATAGTGATTTGATATTTGGTGTATTGTTTTATCATGACAAGTTACAGGTCAAGTTCGATTTTCACGATTTTAGCTTTTCTCCCTTGTTCAGTTAAAGCCCTTTCCCTAGAATTAAATTTTTGATGAAATACTTTTAATTACTAGATTTCTAGCTTTGCAAATGACCCACGTTGACGTCACACCATTTATGATGTAACTCTCACAACATTGCGCGCCAAATTCCACCCGTTTCAGTTTCTCTGTCTTTAGTTTAAAAACGTCTTATATTTGTCTACATGCAGGGTTCTTTACCCTGTTAAAATTATGTCAAATTCCCGATAAAAGATATTTAAAAAAATGAAAAAAGCGTTGCTTTCACGTTACACTTAGTGGTCGAATTTCTCTAAAAATTGCCAGATTTAAACTGAGACCGGGGATAATTTTGCCTCAAGGTGTACTTGGATACTTGAGGGTGTTAAAATATCCAAATCTATGGATATGAACGTAGATAACTTATATTAACACAACATGTTATTCCAACCATTTCTGTTGAGTTATGTTTTTCAGACTGATGTTTTCTTAAAGGTTACATATTCTAATTACTCTTTGAGATGTTAATTCGTGGTCACTATGTGTTACTTTTATTAAATGGGTTTTCCTATGTAAAAATGTGATGATTAAATTGTAGTAGTTAAGTGCAATAAAAGAGAATTTTTCAAGTTTTCAAGGTTAAAGTATATGTTGTATGTGAAGTCAAGTTGAAAATGTCAATTTCCAGATGGACTTATTTCATTTTTGCTGTTCATGATTTATGGTCCTTGATGGATTGGAAAATTGAATCTATTTTACATTCAATATGTTTTTTCCTGGACAAAGTGGAGGTTAAGACTACCTTATAACATTATGCAAGGTTAATTATACATGTATTATGTTTATTTTTAGGTAAGACTGAAAGACATAGATGCAGAAATGTTTGTTTTGAATGAAAGTGAAACATTGAAGCTGAATGATGTACAGAAGGTTTTGATAGGTCGTCTTCTTTGTGACAGGGATGAATTTCAGTGGCTTAAAAATACACTACCACAACATATACCACATCGGTACAAAATTAAGTCTAAATATATGGAAAAAAACGAAATTACACCAGTCCTCAATGGAATGGGTTTAAGTAGTGCCAATATACAGTCTGTTAAGACAAGTTAACGATTGTAATACTTATATGAATGACTATTGCAAAGTAACATGTAGAATAAAAGGAAATTTTATTATTTTGTGAAAATTATGCTTGTTATAAATTTTAAATGAAATTCATGATCCAAGTTGAAATTTTGCAAAAGAACATTGTGATGACATCTTATATCATGTTTATGTTGAACATATTTCTACATTCCTTGATTTTTTCTGCAAACCAAATGCATTTTATTGCCAAGATAATTATGGTTGCATGTTAAATATAATAGAAAAAAAATAAAGGATATGGGTAGCTGACTATGCGGTATGAGCTTTGCACATTGTTGAAGGCTGACAGTGACCTTTAGCTGTTAATTTCGGTGTCATTTGGTCTATTGTGAAGAGTTGTCTCATTGGCAATCATACCACATCTTCTTTCATATATTGACATAAAACTCCTGTACAACAAAACACAAAATGCAATGGAATAACATATTTATAGCTATTCTTCATTTCAAAGCGACAGTGAGGACTTCAACATGAAGCAAAAACTCTCACCTCAATGCAAGTATAAGATCAGATGGCCCCTAGCACTGGTTTGATTGTAATTCTTTGACTTTTATTAACATATTACATAAAAGAATTACAGAAGTAACAGAAATATCATATGAATATAGAACCTTATCTTCTATAATAATACTTCATTTGGCATTTTCTTAATTTTAAGTTACAGTGACAGCATGTCAAAGAAACAGCAGGTCTTTACGTTGAAAATAATGTTCAAGAATGAATCGAAAAATGAAGACTGTCTGGATATAATGGGTGACTATGAGGATCAAATAATTGATTTGCACACAAAGGCATATGGTAATAAAGGAATTAGTTTACATTGCATACTGTTCATAACATCTTTTTAGGTCTTTCCACCTTTCCGTGGAAAGACCTATTGATTTTGTTCTGATGATTTTGTTTTTTTCTTTCGCCTAATTTTTTTCTTGCGCTGTATTTTTGTTTCAAAAGATGTCGCTTAGTTTTTTTGTATATGATATCATACAGTCTAAGCTTTTGAAACTGACCCTATGTCTGGAAGTTACAAAAATGGTTATTTTTGGTCCCTAATTCTTTAACTGTTGGTATCATAACCCCAAAAATCAATCCCAACTTTCCTTTGGTGGTATTGAACCTTATGGTAAAATTTCAGTTAAAGTTAGAGTGCGAAAACCAATGTGTCTTTGTACGACTACGCCGACGACGACGCCAACGTCATACCAATATACGACCCGAAATTTTTTTTCCGGTCGTATAAAAAGTGTTGCATTTGTTTATGATAGCCATCAAAATTTGATTGAAATCAAAATGTGTTAATGTTTGTAATATTCCAATTACAGGAAATACGGATGTATTAGATAAATATGGAGTGGTTTTAGGAGGAGATATGCTGACCAGGGAGAGACTGCAAAATGCTAAAAACATTACATATTTAGCACCAACACCAAAGGGTCGATTTGAACATTTGTCCCCTGTCACTTGTGAACTTTGGCATGTGAAGCAAGATCTTCTATCTGTATGTTTTATTGTATTCATACTTAGTCCCTTTCGTAATTTAAGTTATCAACAAGCATTCTGAGTCCAAGGACCATAATTCTGCACAGAATCTTTAGACCGGAACAAAATTCTAACTATATCTGTATCTTGTCATGATAAAACAATATACCAAATATCAAATCAATATATTCAAGAACAAAGAAAAAGTGTGGAAAACTGATTTGACCGAATGCAAACCTAAAGTCCCCTTCAACTTTGCGCTTATTTTGTTCCTTAAGTAATGCTCTCTCATAGCATTAATTCTATATTCTTGATTTTTTTAATTTCACCTAAGTGCATTCTTAATGTTGGATTTATAGGCTTTAAAAACAAGTTCCAATATTTAAAAGTAAAATTGAAGTTATTTTAACACTGTCTTTATGTCAATTTTTTTAGAAAGTATATAAAGCCTTATTTAAAAGCGATTCATTGGGAGAGTGTGGAACTTTGTTTCACATGAAGACAGCATTAAGGAGGAATGATGTTAATGGAAATGTAAAATCAAACTACAAAGCCCATGAAGAACTACTTCTGCTAATTGTTAAAGCATTAATTCACATAGCTTCAGATGAAATCAAGGACTGCAGAGAACAAAACAGAGACATTGTGCTTAGTAGTGTTTTTTCAAAGATTTATGGTTTGTACAATTGAGAGTTTTTATAATTAAAATTACCTTTTGTTTAATACATACATATTAAGAAGCAAGAATCGTGAGCTTTACATCTATATGCATGTCATATCTCAGAAAACTGAAGCACATCAAATTAACATTGAATATTGCTATAAAGTTGTGTATCAAATATTGTAAAATACCGTGCCAACAATATTATTTGTTGGATACCAATTTTCATATAATTATTTCATTGGTACGGTGGCAAACATTACTCTAAATTTATGTTCATTGAATTTAAAATTTTCAAATTGATGCATGCTGACTTTGACACAACCATCATGAAATCAAATATTTGAGAAAATGCAAGTATTCCACATTCCATGAAAATTGGTACCCTAGAAAAAATCAAGGAGTTCACACTATTTAAAATTACATATTTCTACAGCTAAAATAAAACATTGGATGCATTTCAATGTACACTTAATGACCAAGCTAAATAATTAAATTATAGGAATGAAATGGCAGATATACATATCTGGATACATATACATAAATCAGCTTAACATTTTAACTTATCGGACTTCCTTAACTGTCTATATCACACTGTTCAGCTCTGAATAAAATTGCATACCACAGCTTTGTGACATCAAATACGTTGACCCGGCCTTTAAATAATTTTGACCCGAACATATCAGCGACGTCATAATGTATGAACCGACGTTAATAAGTTTTTTTTTAAATTTTTTTTCGGTAGTCAGGCTTTTACAATCCCTGTACATCACCGACGTTGATAAGTTTGTTCCGAACTTATCAAGTCATCTTCAGGTTTGCTGTTGAAACCAAGAAAACACTTGTTTCTCTCATGCAAAATACGCAAATACAACCTGATAAATCGATTATCTGGTTGTCTGCATATTTATATGGTAAAATATCAGCTGCTCGACTCAATATGAATCCTTTTTGAACTTGTTTGCTTCGCTCACTCAACAAAAAGCTTCATATTATGGCTCGCAGCTGATATTTTACAATATCAATATGCAGGCAACCTGATAATTGGTACAGATGATGAAGAAGATGAAGATGAATCGTTACACATGATAAAATTGTTTGTGTATGTAAATTAAAATAAACAGTTATTTTTTAGGTCTAGGATACAGTACAGAAGATTATGTTTGCAACTATTTCACAAATTTATTAACCTGGGGGATGCAAATTGTGAATATGAATGACACAGCAAAGGAGGGGGACATGGAGAGACTCATAATGAATATGAAGGAAAATGCTGCCTTTTTTTACAGCCACTCAGCAATGAGTAAATATTTTTCTGAGTGCATTAATACCATCTTGCAAGTAGATCATCTTTCATCCCCTCATATGAAAATGAGACAGCTAGAAGGGGCATTCGTCAATACTAAAGGGGGAAATGGTAAGAACAAGGAAGCAGACCTTGTGCAGGAGCATGCCATTAGAAACCAGAAAGACTTAATAAGAGGTCTAGGTAAGAAAAATAGATTTAGCCTGCAATCAGCCTGTTACCCTGCTTCCATTTTGGGCAAGTGGTAATGTGAATATTTCTTTTCATGTAACAGTTCATTTTGGGGTCCACTTCATGGAATACATTGAAACTATGTCGATTTCTTTGGAAAATTAGAGACAATGATTCGGATTTTAACAACTAAATTTTCAAGCGTTGGGTGTTAATTGCAGGATAAAAACAATATATGTACATTGTCGGAAAATATAAAATTTATTTGTACTCACTACAAAACAGGAGAAAATCTCGGCGAAACTTGCTTTTTGTCCTGTTTCTAAAGCTCATACAAATAAACTTTATATTTTCAGACAAATTGAGACAATGTACATATATTGTATACTTATTATGTTGTTATTGAAAACATAGAATGTAACAACAACATATAAAACAAAAAATGTAACATCAACATAATAAATTGCTTTGCTGAGCGCAGCTGGATACGACCGCAGAGGTACAACCCTAAACAGTTGGGGAAAAAATGGACACAATATTCGTGCTTGATACAGGTCTGAATTTGGATTGAAATTAAATGTTTGACACATAATAGGTTTCTGACACAGAATAACTGTAGTCAAAGAACTTAAAATTGGTTATATGATTTGAATTTATATTCAATTTTTTGCTTTTGTGCAATACTCTATGCTGTTGCAAATTGACCCCCCCCCCCCAAAAAAAAATAATATCCACACCCTTTTTTTTTTGACATTTTTTTTTTCCCACCCCTTTTTTTTTTACAATAAAAAATAATATTTGAAGAAATTTTCTTTTTAATTTCTGAAATAATCTGTAATGAGAAAAAAAATTGCCCCCCTCCCATTTTTTTTCACCTCCCCCCCCTTCCCCTTTTTCCAAGTAAAAAATGTTTCCCTCAAGATATGGTCATTATCTCAATTAAAATTTCCAATGGAGTTTGCAACCATAATTACCCATTTAAATACATCATCAAAGTCTTAAAATAGAAAATGACATACATGATCATGTCTAAAAATAATATCTTTAATCAGCATTCTTATTAGTAACTTCTAAAAATAAATTGACAAAAAAAGACAATACAAAATTTCTTTATCCATAATTTTAAAGCAGTGTAAGGGAGGTAATCCAAATTAACATTGTAATTAACAGTGATTGTCCATTAACAAGGAAACCCTCTTTTTCCCCCCTTTTTTTGCCCCTAATCACTATACGTTTTAAGCCATTACGCCCCCCCCCCCCCCCCAAAGCTAATTCTAACCATCCCTTTGTGGTATGGAAACTTGTTGTACAATTTCAGAGAGATCCATACACCAATCCACAAGTTATTGCCTGAATACTAGAAAAATGCTTAATTGGGCCCCTTTTTTGGCCCTTAATTCCTAAACTGTTAGGATCATAACCCCCAAAATCAACCCCAACCGTCCTTTCTTCGTTATAAACCATGTGTTTAAATTTCTTAGATTTCTATTAACTAATACTAATATTGTCTGGAAACTATGTGTCTTCGGATGACGAACTGACAACGTTTTACAGAATTTATCGGGTTAATAAAATTCATATCGGGTGAAGGGAACCAGATATGAATTTTATTGACCTGATAAATTCTCCTATTAGGACAATTGCACACTGTGTAACTAATATTGCTTATGATCAATTAAATCTATTAAAAACAGATAAAGAGATTACTTTCTAAACAGTAAGATATTCGAAGCAATACATGCAGACAAAACCTTGGACAGTTTCATAGCATACAGATGTCCATCAGTCACATCTGTCTTACTTGTTGATCCTATAGTTGACCCTAATTTTTATTAATATAGGAGCAAACAAAACTGAGAATGGTTCAAGGAGAGCAAGCAGTTCAGCAGATATTATTCATAGAATTGGAGACAACATAGATCATTTGTTAAATATACCTAAACTTACCACAAGCCACGCAAAAAAGACCATCAAAAGATCTTGAAATTGCAATTAACATTTTAAAGAAAGTTCAACCTTTTAATTATGTTAAGGGAAGGCAATTTGAAAGTTTTAAAACCATAGCAAAGAATCCCAAATTAGTTGTTCAAAAGAAAGATCTTGTACACGCCATCCAGAAAAAAATTCAAAGGTTGTTTTTAAATTCATAATTTTTTATAGTCTGTAATTAATGGTTTTATTGAATATCCACTGCCCGTATCTACTGTACTTTGTGTCACTATTAAAAAATTAAATGGGAATACCTTACTTACTGAATGTTAATAAAATATAAATTATAACCATATTTTTTTTAATACATGTACATGTGTATGTAACTAATTTTTCTCCATTAATACTGCAAATGTTATGAAGGTAACAGCAGTTTATAGTTTAAGTATTTACGCTTTATCTATTTCAATATTTAGTAATAAAATTATTTAAGCTACATTTATTTCTATATTTTAAAATAGTGTAAGAATTAAATTTTTACAAATAAATTTAGAAATCTGGCATTTCGTAATGGGAGATAAGTTAGTTCCCAATGCTTTATATCAATGGGAATTGATATTGTAGATAAAGTTAAGTTTAACTTCTTCATTAAAATATATGGAAACAATGACTTTTACATTCTGTGTTATTTAAATATTCTTTGTTAATTAATGAAATTATAGTGAGCTATGTTAATAATTTATTACACCCAAAATGTAAGTCTTTATCAATCTAATGCTGGCATTAAATACATTTTCCTTGTATGACTAATCTCTGTATCTTTCCATAATTAATTTTTTTTCTACTTAATTGTTATAATGTGTCTCTCCATGTCCCTTCATTGTGTAATTTTAATCTATAAGACCTTTCCTTATTGTTTTGTACCAGTCTCTCCATGTCCCTTCCTCAAGTTAATATTTTTCTAAAAATCTCATCTCATAATTTTGTATGAGTTCCTCAATGTCCCTTCATTGAGCATTTTTTTTCTAAAATACATTACTCAATTGTCTTGTAAAGTCTACATTATCATGATAATATGTAAATATTTAATTAAAGAAACATGAGTAGGGTTCAAGTTTCCAAAGGAAAATTATCATTCCCATCTTTATAATCAATATAAAATAATACATATTATCACCTTATATTTCTTAACAAATGGTATGCTAACTAGTGATATACAATAGAACTTTGAATGTATAATATACACTGTAATATATTTTTATAAAATATTAAAAATATATAATATTGTTATTTCCTTGTACATCTACCTTCAGTTTATTTTTTCACTGCTATTGTCAGTTTGTATTTGTTGTACATGATTCATTGATTGTAATAACAACTAAAATTTAACTTTACATGTACAAAATGAAATATTTTAGTTCTTTATATTTTCCTCACCAGAAAATGAATGCATCTCATTTTCTCATTAATTTTCAACAATGCATTTCAGATAATAAATCAACAAGGCAACATATTATGAAACTAAATATAAACTGAAGAGTGTGCTTTCAAGAATGTATAATTTGAAATAATTCATATGCTGGTCTGCTATATTTTTATCTGTCCATTATTATCATATTATATACACAATTGAGAATAGCACCAAATGTATTACAACTGAAAGAAAATTTCAAAAAAGTTGAATTGATAGAAGGAATGTAGTTTTAGAAAACAAAGAACTGTAATGGATATAGGCACCATAAATAAAATTTGAATTTTTAAACATTGACTAAAGTTGAATTGCATTTAGACTAAAAAAAATATTGCTTTTTTTATAATGTGAATGTTTTAATTTAAAGCATTTACATATCATATCATATCAAAAAAAAAATTGGAATGAAAAAAAATACACTTTTAATAATTGTGGACAACATTAACCAAACATATTGTAAATATTATTATGACTGGGTTTAGATGAGAATTTGTTATAGTTTGGAAGTAACCATTTTGTAAAGGTTATTACATAATTCTTTCAGTGAAAAAGAAATTTACATTGACTGTGATATTTTTTTCATTATAAGTGTTCGATTTTGAAATAACTGTGATATAAACTGTGATATTGACTTGTATTGTATATTGAATGAAAAAAAAACATTCCAGAATATTTATAGTTATCATCAAGTCTGTTTGCCTCTTTGTTTGTAAGTACTTGTAATATATTAATTGAAATTTGTTGATTTAAAAAATGTGTAGTTCTGACTTAAAAATGAATTTGAGTGATGTCTTCTGTAAATGGATCATAAGAAGTTAAAATGAATGTATATTTTGTTATTTCAAGTTGAAGCAAATTGTAAAAAATATGTATGTTTTTTTTTTAAATGGAAAGTTTTGAGAAACATTTGTTTTTGCTAATGATTTTTGAAATTGATTTCTGCTGTTATGTATTGTTCATCACCATTTTAAAAAACATTGGCCAAAAAGCATGAAATTCATTTTTTTAGGTCAGATGATCTCTTATGAGAATCTTTTTTAGGGTAACAAAAGGATTTGAAGATTACCGTACATAAAACAATAGAGTAATATTAATGTATTGATATGAAAACGAAAATCTGATCATTGGAATTTTATTTCACTACAACTAGTATACTTGAATCAGTAAATTGATCATTTGTAAGCATTTAAACCTGTCCACTGAATGGTTACAACAAAAAAAAACCCAAAAAATGAACTTTTGTCTGTATTTATGGGATTTTTAAAAAAGTTAATGAAATATTGTATCAATTGTATAGCCTTTAAATGTAAGTTATTTTTATACATTGCCTCCTAATATTAAGTATAAATGTTGAATTTCAATGCTTTGTAGACTAAGGATGTTAAGTTTTCAGAATAGTTTATTGTGTATCACTCTAAACTTGAATAAAATTTATATACGCAAAAAGTGTTTTATAATTCTATTTAAAAATTTTGAAATTGGGAGTGGGATGGGGGTGAGTTTGGTAGGGTTATTGCCTATTTACAATTCTATTCTCAGCATCTCACATTCAATACATGAACATAGTCGTTTACAGTTGTAACAGCAAATATGACCCTTTACAGCTGATTTTTCAAAGCCATACTGCTGCAGAAGGTATTCTCTAATACAACCCTTTTCCCTACAGAAACCAATAAT